AATGGTCTTTGGGTCTGTTTCTCTCCTTAGATACCCCCATTACTAAGTGGGTATCATTATCGGTATAATTTGATCTCCAGAATATCTTACTAAAACGTAAAAAAAAACCTCTTTAAGAAAGTTAGCATGTAGATGATGCAGGTAGCCTTGGCCTTGATAGAATGTGGGAATAAATGTAAGCCAAGAAGTCTAAATAGAAAGGATAATTATAAATCTACACACATATAGTGTTTTGATACATACAAAAGTATATATATGTAAGAATTATATATAGATAAATCCCACAATTCAAATAACAGAGAAAGTGACTTGGTTGTTACAGTTCAGATACTCAGTAAAGCTTTGGCTGAAATGCCCATTATTTACTTTTCTGTGTATGTTTAAAAAATAAGTGGAGGGGCTGGAGCAATAGCACAGAAGGTAGGGTATTTGCCTTTCACGTGGCCGGCCTGGATTTCTCAGCATCCCATATGGTCCCCTGAGCACCGCCAGGGGTAATTCCTGAGTGCAGAGCCAGGAGTAACCCCTGTTCATTGCCAGGTGAGACACTAAATAAATAAATGAATAAATAAATATAAGTGGAGTCTTAGGGTTGGTGGTTTATTACTGTCATTTTGCAACAGATAATGCTTAGTCAGCTGTGCACAGTATAATTATAACCGTTTTCATAGGTTTAATGGGGAAGCAGGTGATATCCTGAAAGTAGAAGTCCTAATGGGCATGACCCATAAGCCATTATCATGAGCAGCCACTGGCTGAACAAAGACCAAAACCGGGTTCTCACCTACCGTCTCCAAAAGGAACATTATTATTGCTGAATATTTTTAAAATCTCAAATGACTCATTTTCATCTCTGGTCTCAAAAACTATAAAAGTTTTGTTCTTTGTTCTTTGACGTCACTATATTTGGGTAATTCTTCAACAGTAAGAGAAAAGTAATGCACGGAATTATTAAGTCTCTCCTAAATATAGATATGGCTGGTTTAATTTTTCATATAGTCAGAATAATTAATCTGGATTCCAAAAGCCCCACTCTTCATGTCTTTGGAAAATTAAGTTATTGAAAAGGAGAGAGTTTAGAATATTGGAATGTGGAAGGACATTTCTGCTAGGTGCTTACGATATGCTGTCAAGCTGTCAGAGGAAAGAGACAGAAGAAGGCTATAAGGTATTGTGCAGGTCAATAAAAGGGACAGAAAAGAAACCAAGGCTTTCACAAATTAAAACATTATTCTTGTACAGGGCTGGAGCCATAGCACAGCGGGTAGGGCGTTTGCCTTGCATGCAGCCAATCCAGGTTGGATTCTTCCGTCCCTCTCAGAGAGCCCGGCAAGCTACCGAGAATATCCTGCCCGCACGGAAAGCTCTCCACGGTGTATTCGATATGCCAAAACAGTAACAACAAGTCTCACAATGGAGGCGTTACTGGTGCCCGCTCGAGCAAATTGATGAACAACAGGAGGACAGTGCTACATTCTTGTACAAGGGTTCTGATGAATAGTGAAGAATGAGAAATACTCCAGTTTAGATATCCACTGAGTTTGATGAGTATTACTGGAAAAGTGTTTATGATATTTATCCATTTACTAAAGAGAAAAGCTTTCAGTGAGTTGTAGAACTTGGATAAGTAAGATGTGGGAGAAGTTGCCTTAAATTATTTTAGGCATTTACTAAATAAAGAAAAAATAATGAAATTATGTAAATTACCCTTCACTTCTTGAACCCTGAAATGGAACAGAGAAGTAGATTAAAATGAAATTTTTTCCAAAAACTTATGGCTTGATATTACAGAAATATTTAATTGAAGAAGGAATAAGCATTGAGATATGAATAGAAAAAGAATTTATGTTAGACTAACATGAAAGCAGAAGGAGAATCCTTTAGACGTTAAGAAAAAATATCAATTTTTTATACTTAAGTTCTTACAAGAGTAGTTTTATCCAACTTCTGAGAGTGCAATGCTAAATATTAATCCCATGAAAACACAAATGGATTTTCTTTCCCACACTATATAATATGACCCCTAGCTATAAAAAAAATTAATAACTCAACAAGAAAATTAATACTACTAACACTATGACGTTCAAGGTGGAAAATGTTCATGTCGAAGAGTTAATAAGAATAAAGTGGTTATTTTATTCCTTTTAACTCTTTGACATTAAAGTTTCAATAAAAAGAGAACTCGATTCAAATACAATACTTGCATGTTAGAAATAGCAGTTTTGTTAGAGGTTTTTAAAAATGGAGTTATGGAATCATGTATTAAAAAGTATACAAGTAAATATTGTAATTCAATGCATCACTAAAATGTTTATAATGAAATTCCTTCTATTTCAAAATTTACATTGCTATCAGTATAACATCACGGGAAGAAAACTTTTACTCTTGCAGGCTTTAACACAATAATAATTTAACATAAATGATCACTTGGCAGATATCTGAAAATTTCAAGTTCATTAAGTACTAACACTAGCATATAGCAGTTTTTGAAGGAATACTCAAACTTTTCAAACAATACAAATCATGCTAAGCATAAATATCTGCATTCAAAATAGTTTTACAGAGTTTTATTCTGGCCCTTTGCAGTAATAACTTTTGCAGTACTTGGGTATCAGTGGTAACCAAGATAAATTTAACCTAATTCATTTCTAGAAATCTGTACAAATGACTACCAGCATATTCTAACAGAGTCATCAGTTTATGGCAACTCATTTCCACCCCTAAATTATCTTCACTGGTAAATTCCATTTACAAAATGAACCATTTGTCTTAGTTTTCTTATCTTACTATTTAAATGAATTTTTTATGAATTCATGATATTTTTAAAGTTTTTTTCTTGAAATAAAGAAATATCCTGTCCCATTTTGCTAATGTCTCTTCTCCCTTCATTCCTGAATCTATATAATGTTGATTAATTTAATAATTTATTGTAAAAGATCATTTTATTAAAATATTGATACTGATAGAGCAGTCAGCACTGTCAGCACTGTCTTCCCATTGTTCATCGATTTGCTCGAGTGCGCACCAGTAACGTTTCCATTGCTAGACTTGTTACTGTTTTTGGCATATCGAATACACCACAGGGAGCTTGCCAGGCTCTGCAGTGCAGGCGTGATACTCTCAGTAGCTTGCCGGGCTCTCCCAGAAGGGAGTATTGCATAAAAATATTAGTTTGCTGCCTTAGCTAAAATGATCATGAATTCTATTCTAGAACTGATGTCTGTTTCCAAAGAATATCATCTACTATACTTTCAGGAAATTTCCAAAGGCTTAAGGGTAGAACATTTCTATAGGACTAAGGACTTTGATAATAAATTCCTTTAAAATTGTGTGTAATCTATTACCTTTTATGTGATATTTTTGCCATAAAATCTGGATCTCATTTTTATGAAGAACAATATTTTTAACTGTTGCTATAAGATTCTTCCAGATATGCAAATGCAATAAATCTCATGCGAAACCCATGACCTTCTATGGAATGGATGAAAGTAACCCTTCTTTCTTCCTAACCTTCCAACTAAAAACAACCTTATTGAATGCAGCAATCAATCTTTTCTAGTTAAATATCTACACTTTTACATATGTCTAGCATTTTATCTGTATAAATGCTAAATTAGCACCTGAAATATATAAAACTTAAAGTTTATTCAAGTGTAAATCAAATGTTTTTAATGGTATAGTGAGTGTTTTTTGTTGATTTAGAAATAGATGCATTGTATTGGTCACGCTATACTTCTAAAGGATAATGAAATATTAGAAGTTTTGGCTTTTCAAAGAAGAAATCCGAATGGCAAGAAGGCACATGAGAAAATGCTCTACATCACTAATCATCAGAGAGATGCAGATCTAAACAACAGTGAGATAGCATCTCACACCACAGAGACTGGCCCACATACAAAAGAAAAAAAGCAAACAGTGTTGATGCGGATGTGGCAAGAAAGGGATTCTCCTTCACTGCTGGTGGGAATGCCAACTGGTTCAGCCCTTTTGGAAAACAATATGAACGATTCTCAAAAAATTAGAAATTGAGCTCCCATTTGACCCAGCAATATCACTTCTGGGAATATATCCCAGAGAGTCAAAAATGTACAGTTGAAATAACGTCTGCACTTCTATGTTCATTGCTGCACTATTCACAATAGCCAAAATTTGGAAAAAACCCGAGAGTCCAAGAACAGATGACTGCTTAAAGAAACTTTGGTACATCTACATAATGGAATACTACGCAGCTGTTAGAAAAGATGAAGTCATGAAATTTACATACAAGCGATACTACATGGAAAGTTTCATGCTAAGTGAAATGAGTCAGAAAGAGAGAGACAGGCATAGAAAGATTGCATTCATCTGGGGAATATAAAGTAACAAAATAAGAGATTAACATCCAAGAATTGTCAAGATAAGTACCAGGAGGTTCACTCCAAGGCCAGTCGCACATGCTAGGGGGAAAGGCAGCTCAGATAGAGAAGGGAGCACCAGGTAAAGGGTTTTGGGAGGATCCTCCCAGGATGGGAGATGCATACTGAAAGTAGACTATAGACCAAACATGATTGCCACTCAATGCCTCTTTTGCAAACCTCAGCAACCAAAAGGAGAGAGAGAACAAAAGGGAATGCCCTGCCACAGAGGCAGGATGGGATGGCGGGGAGGGGCGGGGGGATACTGGGATCATTGGTGGTGGAGAATGGGCACTGGTGGAGGGATGGGTACTTGATCATTGTATAACTGAAACCCAAGCACAAAAACTTGTAAGTCTACAATTGTAACTCATGGTGTTTCACTAATAAAAATTTATAAAAAAAGAAATAAGTTATGGCTTAAAAAATCCCATCTAATTTCCTAGGAGTAGTGACCACATTTTCAATTCAGGACTTCTTATATGGAAGATAAATACAGGAGTAGCAGTCATGAATTAGAAAGACTTACTTTAAACTAGAGAATAGAGAGAGATTTAGATGGTAAGTTAGCACTGCACTCAGGAGAATCAAACTGCCATGACATACCTGTAACACTTTGGTGAGATTGTTGAAAAGAGCTTGGCCAGCACTCACTTTGTATTTGACGCCTCTCACTGTCCCATTTTTGCTTATAATATTAACTCTTCTTGTACCAAAACCCTTCTCACATGCAGCTCTAGCTAACACGAGCAAATTATCCTGTTCGTTCTCATATTCATCACTTTCTGATCCAAGGTGGCCATTCTGCTGTCCGTCAGACTCACTTAGTCCATCTATGCCACATATACTGGCACATTCAGAATCCAGAGAGCCTGCGGGTTGCCCATCTTCATACACTTCCTTCAGAACTCGCCCGCTGTGAGAAGAAGCAATTCGAAACCGGACTCTCCGTGGCCTGTCATTTTCTGATTTGGTCTCTCTTTTGAGCATGATCACATCCACTTATAGCAACAGTTCACATAGTTCCATATCTATCATTAATCCCTTAGTCTCCTAGCCACATGTCAGAGCTTAATTCCGGTGACAGCACATTCACATGAAACTAACATTGAAAGGGAAGAAGATTCCCAAGGACTTAGAGTGCCGTTAATAATGAATGTGTGTGAGCTTGATATAGTTACCCTTAAACTAAAACCTGCAAATTGATCCTATCGCTTAAATATTAAATAGCCGTGGTCGACTGTTTTACAGGATAAGTGCAAAAAACGTGGCATGTGATGAAACAAAATAAAGTACAAGACAAGCAATTGAAATATTTCTTTAACTTGGTAGCCAGACGTGAGTTTTAAAAGGTTTCTAGCCTTTTTGCTCCATGGCTTGGAGGCCAGCCACACACTCACTCCAGGGGAAAAGGAAGCTCAGATAGAGAAAGGAGCACCAAATAAAGGGTGTTGGGAGGATCCTCCCATGCTGAAAGTAGACTACAAACCAAACATGATTGCCACTCAATGCCTCTTTTGCAAACCACAACACCCAAAAGGAGAAAGAGAACAAATGAGAATACCCTGCCACAGATGCAGGGTGGAATGGGGGGATGGGTGGTGGAAGGGATACTGGGACCCATGAGGGTGGAAAATGGGCACTGGTGGAGGGATGGTATTTGATCATTGTATAACTGAAATCCAAGCACAAAAATTTGTAAGTCTACAACTGTACCTCATGTGTTTCCCTACAAAAAATTTTAAAAAATAAAATAAAAAATAAAAGGTTCCTAGCACAATTATCTCTGCATTTTATTTACCAAAGACAAAATATTAGTTCAATTGCAGAGGATAAGTGCTGTTATAGATTTCTCACAATGTTTATTGCCTCTCTTCTAAATCAGAAAACACATACCTTCATAGAGTTATATATATTACATTTATGATACATAGACTACATCTTAATAGTTTTCTAAAGTGAATGATATTTCTACCTGAGGAGCATGGGAACCACTCCAGTAGCCTCAAATGGAAGGTGGGAGATGGGTCTTTCTATTTCCTTTAAGAAGTTATATTTCCAGATATGCACTGAGAGATTTTTTTGGGGGGTGTATTTGTTTAAAGAGGGTATAGTGGGTCATATGTAGAGGTTCAGATGGGCTTGAGAAACTCTGTGCTATAAAAAATAAAATGAATTTTCATTTACATCTTTATGCCAAAGTTGCTTTATTTCGCAGAAATACCTTTTGAACAAAACAAAAATAGGAAACTTCTGTTTCGCTTCTTTTCAACTCCCGCAAGTTAAAAAAACAAACAAAGAGGGAATCATTATGTCTTTGATATAGGGAAAGATTTTGGAAAGAAAACATATGGAACAGTGAGGAAAGAATGGAAAATCCTCCCTGCTAGCCAGATGAGCCCAAGTAGTGAAAGTGATCGACACTGATAAATATTAAAACCAAATTATCCATGTCTTGAGAAAAACTTTTAAGAAGCAATATGCACTGTAGTTTTCTGTCACTTTGTCAAGCATATGAGAATCTACTCTAAAGCGATATTAAAATTACTCTACAGGGAGTGCCCATTTTGTTAGCACCTGCATAAAAAGGAAACCTACAAGACCCTCTCACAGTACATTTCCAGTTGCTTTAATGCCCCCAATTTTTTATCTGAATTTTATCATTTTCTAATTTGAATCATAATAATATTAATTAAAATAGAATTTAGAAAATTTTTAATAAGATAGTATAAAATAAAATATCTCAAAAGTTAGATATTAAAGTCACAAACTCAGACCAAGTGATTGTATAGCTGATCAACTATGCCAGGCTGGACTAGTGGTCCTTGCTTGCAGTACCAGAAGTAAGCCCTGAGCACCACTAGGTGTCTGAAATACCTCCCCCAAAATATCAGTTCCTTTTTTAAAGTCCCAATCTCCCAATCTGTTAAAACTCCCAATCTCCCAATCTGTCTCATGTTAATTATAATGTGGATTGTATTAGAGTGCATATGAATAACAAAGGCTCTGGCATGGACAAAAAAGACAGGCACTTGCTTTTACATCGAAAGAGAACAGGTACTTATATTTAAAAAATTGGAATAAAGGGAACTAAATCATATTTTAATTGTGGACTGCAGATGTTGTGATAAGTAGGACCTGGTTCCCACTAACTCTCTTTTCTTAGCTACTACTCCACTAATTCTATGTCATAGGAAAATTCTCAACCATGCTATCCTGTGTCATGAAAATAAAAATATGTATTCTGTTAAACCAAGGTAATAACGATGTAAGAGTTGATGATAGGAACCGCTTTTTCATTACTGAATGAAAAAAGCACATTACTAATGTGCTCTTATATTTCAAATATCTTATCTCAAATAGTATATCTCATATATCTCATATGACTCATATGACTGCGGAGCTATAGCACAGCGGTAGGGCGTTCGCCTTGCACGCGGCCAACATGGCCGACCCGAGTTCGATTCCTCCGCCCCTCTCGGAGAGCCCGGCAAGCTACCGAGAGTATTGGATATGCCAGACACAGTAACAACAAAGTCTCCAATGGAGACGTTACTGGGCCCGCTCGAGCAAATCGACGATCAACGGGAGGGCCTTTACCTTTACCTTTACCTTTATATGACTCATAAGGCACTTATTACCTTGCTTTTTTTAGTTCACATTATATATAACATGCCAGGCTGTTCACATTATTTATAACACACCAGGCTGCTCTCACTTGGGGGGCCCCAGAGGGGGATGAGTGAGAGCCCTCCCCCACCCCAAGGGACTCATCCCCGGCAGCTGACCTCCACTACCTACCCGCTGCCATGCTCCAGGCCACTTTCCAGACTGCGTGGCTGCAAATTCCACCCATTTTCCATAATTACCACACATGTTTGACGGGGTTCAGACAGTAGGCAACAAATATATATATATATATATACATATATATATATATATATATCTCAGAGAGCCTGACGAACTACCAAGAGTGTCTCGTCTGCACAGACAGAGCCTGGCCAGCTCCCCGTGGCATGTTCAACGTGCCAAAACCAGTAATTATAACAGGTCTCATTCCCCTGGCCCTGAGAGAGCCTCCAATCATTGGGAAAGACGAGTTAGGAGAGGCTGATAAAATATCAGGACTGGGATGAATAGAGACGTTACTGGCGCCCACTCAAATTAATTGAGGAGGAATGGGATTACAGTGATACAGTGATATATATGTGTGTATTTTGTGTATGTGTACACACACACACACACACACACATATATATACCTAGTTTATATAGTTTTAGTGAGGACTGGAGTGATAGCACAACAGGAAGGGCGTGCTTGTGGTCAACCTGGGTTTGATTCCTCCGCCCCTCTCAGAGAGCCCGGCAAGCTACCAAGAGTATCCCGCCCGCACAGAAGAGCCTGGCAAGCTCCCCGTGGCATCTTCGATAAGCCTAAAACATTAACAGCAAGTCTCACGATGGAGACATTACTGGTGCCTGCTCAAGCAAATTCATGAACAACGGAATGACAGTGCTATAGTTTTAGAGAGATTTAGTGAGCCATTTCTTCTATCTTTAGTTTTGACAACCATTTAGCTTAATGTGCATATAAAAGTTTTTTCTAGTAGCTATATCATACTTGAGTTTTGGGGTTTTCTAGTTGAGGTAGAGGTTTCCAAGCAATGTCAGGGGTATTCTGAGTCAAACCCAATGACAAAGAGCCAACCAGGCTAGAGAGTCAATGCAATGCTCCAGACCTGAAGTCCTCAGGGTCTACCAGTACTACCTCTAGCAATGCTTGGAAGGGGCCGAGGGGCAGGGTTAATTTTCAATGCAGGGTTTGAACTCTGCACTTTGTACCCCTGACACTTCAGCCTTTTCCCCAAACCTTTTTAATGTATTCTAGTGAATTGTTCGCTGAATTTTTTGTTTCAGTTTGGGGACTATAACTGAAAGTGTCAGAGGCTAATCCAAGACTCTGTGTTGTTGGGAATCAAACCCAGAGTTTTCGTATGCAAGATTATTGAGCTGGACTATTTAGCCACATTTCCAGCTATTTTGAATTTCTAAGTGCTTTAGTTACTTAATCTATTTAATAAAATGGTAATTTAATAATATTCTTTATCTATGAGTATATACATACTTATCTGAGTAATTATTTTTTACATCTTCTGGGTAGAATCGACAGACTAAGATATTCTTAAAATATAAATCTTTTCATACAAACTATCTAACATGCAAAGTTGTATAATGTATATTTCTACTAGTATATGAGTTTCCATTTTACTCTCTCAAGCCAATGCCTACATGGAAAGGATCAATTTCAGATACTTGTGATCTTGGCAAGTTCAAAATCAAAGTTTCTTTGCTATTTCAAAACTTTAATACATTTGATGCCTTTCATTCTAATTAATTTCCTCATAAATAACATTCACTGGAGAGTATATGGAGAAAAGTCTCTATGTCACAGTTTATTATCTTGAGAATCAAATATTGGAATATTTTGTCCAATGCCAAGAAATAAGGCGAAATGGGAGGAATACAGGCTATAAAGGATCACAGTCGGTAGATCTATTTGAGAAGAGGTATCAGTAGAATAACTATACCTATAGATAAGTATATGTGCATGCATATATGTTTATATGATACATCTGAAACTATATGAATAGTTAAATCATCATTTCTTTAACAGCACCTGAAAGTGAAATAGATTTGAAACGTCTCTGCATACAGAAGAATCTGCTACAATGAGAAATATGTGACTGATAATCGATAGCAATAGTTCACATATTTCTTTTAAAATAAAAATATAATTTGTTTTTTACAATGGGCAGACCTTTGAAAATCTATTTTCATTCTGATAGTGAGAGTTCCACAAGTCCTTTGAGTTCCACTCAAAGAGATAATAATACACTTTTAAATTCAATGGTATTATATATATATATATATATTCCCCATTGGTAACATATTTAAACAAAATTATCTAGATCAGTGCAATATATTTGTGTTTGTGGGTATATA